TGACATAGTGGAGGAAACATCTCCTTAAACACCACCTGCTCGTTCCACACTGGGTCTGCTGTGCTCTTCTGAGTAGACGTCCTGCCCTTTCAAGCAGAAAATAAAGAAAACAAGTATCACATATACATATATAAATATATACACTACCGTTCAAAAGTTTGGGATCAGAACAATTTTTTATGTTTTTTAAAGGAGATTCTTATGCTCATCACGGCTGCATTTATTTGATCAAAAATACAGAAAAAAACAGTAATCTTGCAAAATGTTACTACAATCTAAAATAATGGTTTCTATTTTAATATCCTTTAAAATATAATTTATTTCTGTGATCAAAGCTGAATTTCCATCATCATTACTCCAGTATAAAGTGTCACATGATCCTTCAGAAATCATTCTAATATGCTGATTTATTATTAGAATTATCAATGTTGCAACAGTTGTGCTGCCAAATATTTTGTTGGAAACTGCGATACTTTTTTCAGGATTCTTTGATTAATAAAAAGTTAAAAAGAACAGCATTTATTCAAAATATAAATCTTTTCTAACAATATAAATCTTTGCTATCACTTCTTATCAATTTAACACATCCTTGCTGAATAAAAGTTTTAATTTCTTTCAAAAAAGAAGAAAGAATAAAAATGTACTGACCCCAAACTTTTGAACTGTAGTTTATATTGTTAGAAAATATTTCTATTTTAAATAAATGCTCTTCTTTTGAACTTTTTATTCATCAAAGAATCCTGAAAAAAAATCATAGGTTCACAAAAAATATTAAGCAGCTCAACAGTTTCCAGCACTGATAATAAATTATTCATTATTAGAATGATTTCTGAAGATCATGTGACACTGAAGACTGGAGTAATGATGCTGAAAATTCAGCTTTGATCACAGCAATAAATTAGATTTTAATGTATATTAAAATAGAAAAACGTTATTTTGCATCATAATCATTTCCTGTATTTTTGATCGAATAAATGCAGCCTTGATGAGCATAAGAAACTCCTGTAAAAAAATAATAATAATAAAAATAAAAAACATTAAAAATCGTTCTGATCCCAAACTTTGTGTATGTGTTAACATCGACCAGCCACGAGATGGCAGCATAAGACCTCTGAGCGTCAGCTAAATCCTGGGAACCTCACCAACTTTCGGTTTTGTTTCAAACTGACTTTCTCTATGGTTGCTGTCCCTGCTTGGGCTCTGAGGCGTGTTCTTCGAATAGGCTACTTTCAAAAAAATCTGAAAGAAGAACGCATGAAAGTGTACTTTGTATGAAAAATGTCGCCTCTGAAATACTCGACGACCGTCATCTGCGCCGTGTTCATCGCCATCGGAGCTGCTTCAGGTAAAGTTAACGTACTTTCTCCACGACGGGGCGGCGTCCGCTATTAGCTAACGTTAGTTCAAAGCCGTTTAGTTTGAAAAGATATTATAATAGTGTGTATAATTTACAAATACCAAGTGACTGCGGTGTATTGAAGATAATTATATCTACGACAGTCTTTGGTCGTGGCCTAGTTTTGTGTAACGTTAGCTTAAATTTATTAGCAACAGGCCAAGGCCTACACCACAACAAAAGGGTTGTAACGTTAGTTTATAGTTCAGATGTTTATGCCTTGGTTATTTTATTATTACATAATAATAACAATCATAATTGTGTGTTTTGATTATATTTGTACGGTATGTATATGACATATTGTGTCTGAATATAGTACATTATCGGGTACTTTTTGTTGACGTGCTATCCGGAAGCTATTAGTAACAAACTATTGTACAGAAATGTGCTTGTTGAATGTTGACTAACATGCTCTTTCATTTCACAAACTAGGTGAAGAAGTGAAAATATTTGGTGTAGTTGGTGGTAGAGTGTCTTTTCGTCCAACCAGCATAAATCCTCCTTTCACCAGCATTATATGGAAACACAGAAACAGCATTGGACCTGTTGTAAAAGCGACTGAATGGGATGAAGATGGTTTTAACACCCCGAATCAGAGATTCAAAGGCATCACAACTCTTGATAAGGAGACTGGAGAAATCACTATAACTAATTTAAATTTCGAACATAGTGGACTTTATACCATCGACATCAACAGTAAAGAGCAGGAACAAAAATTCAACTTGGAAGTGTTGGGTGAGTGAATATACATTAAAAGCTTTACACTGATGCATTTACACTGATTAACACAGATAGTATGTGTGATTCTAATATCACCATACATGGTACACCTCCAAATAAACAATATAGTGTGACATTTGTAAGTGATAGTTTGTGTTAGTACCACAGCATTATTATCTGGTGCCATCATATTGTACTCTAACAAGACTTCTTTAAAGTTAGCGTAGTTGTTTTAAATGTCTTTTTTTTTCTGTGGACTGGAACTTAATATGTTTTTTTTCTTTGTTTCGTTCACAGCGGCGCTCCCCAAACCTGAGATAAAAATAGAGAAGATTGAAATTAACCCTAATGCTGTGTATTTAATATGCGAGTACAGTGAAACGATCATCTGGAAGAATTCTGCTGGAGAAACACTGAAGGGCTCACCCCACAGTCCGAAAGGAGAACTTATCAAAGTTGAAAAACAAGGAAATCCAGATGTCTTCTACACATGCACGCTCAAGAATACAGTGAGTGAGAGCACCAGTGATCCGGTCTATGAGAGAGATCTGTTTGAAGGTAAGCATCATTTATTAAAATCACTGAGTGTCGGATAAGTTTTTATGTTAAGGTGGTCCTGAGATGCTCTATTGTGTTTGGAAGTTGTATGTACATTCAAGTATTTGGACATCTCGCACTTAAAATGATCTGAATGTAAATGGCATAGAATTAAACAATACATATCAAAGCAAATTACATTTGTTTGACAATTTAGCAAATATTTCAACTATTTTCTATTTGAATATATCTTAAAATGTAATTTATTCTTGTGATTTCAAAGATGAATTTTTAGCATCATTACTCCAGTCACATGATCCTTCAGAAATCATTCTAATATATTCTGATTTGCTGCTCAAAAACCATTTATTATTATTATTATTATTATTATTATTATTATGTTGAAAACAGCTGAGTAGAATTTTGTCAGGTTTCTTTAATGAATAGAAAGTTCAAAAGAACAGCATTTATCTGAAATAGAAATCTTTTGTAACATTATAAATGTCTTTATCATCACTTTTGATCAATTTAAAGCATCCTTGCTAAATAAAAGTATTAATTTCTATCAAATTATTCAAAAAAACATTATACTGACTCCAAGCTTTTGAATGGTAGAGTGTATAATGTTACAAAAGCTTTTTAGTTCAGATAAATGCTGATATTTGGATCTATCTATTCATCAAAGAATCCTGAAAAAATGTACTCAACTTTTGTTTTAAATATTGATAATAATAAAAATAAAAAATGTTTCTTGAGCAGCAAATCAGCATATTAGAATGATTTCTGAAGAATCATGTGACACTAAGACTGGAGTAATGATGCTGAAAATTCAGATTTGATCACAGGAATAAATTACTTTTTAAAATATATATTATAATAGAAAACAGTTATTTTAAATTGTGAAGAACATAGATTGTCATAATCGTCCAGCCCTAGTTTGAAGTATTGAAAGGTTGTTTTTCGTAATGTTATGTACATGGAACATTACATTTTCATCTATCCTCTTTCATTTTATGCAATATATTTGACAGTAAATTAATCCAGTTTATGTTAAAGGTCACATATTGTACACCTTTCTGGAGTTATATTTTAGGTTTTGACGTCCTTAAGAATATATATTTGCGGTATAAGTACCAAAAACCATCTCAATATATTTTTACAGCTCCTCTCTCAGGAGCTCTGCTGAGAACAGGTCGATTTTGGTCTAATTAATATTCATGAGCCTCTCTTCTGATTGGCCTGTTGTGT